AATACATCTCATACTACTGATTTACTGGTAGTCATGAAAACAATACTTAATTCGAAAAATAAAGTAAATTTTCAATAAGAGATGTATTCACCCAATTTCGTTTAAGGTTAAGATCAACTTTTGGGAAAGCAAAGCTGTGAAATTCAATGGAAACGTCAGCTCTACTCATATAATTGTGGGAATATTCTTCTTCTACCAGTCCTACATTACCTTAAACGAAATTGGATGAATACATTTCATATTACTGATTTACTGATAGTTACGAAAACAATATTTCATTCGAAAAATAAAGTAAATTCTCAATATGAGAATTATTTACACAATTTCGTTTAAGGATGAGAACAACTTTTGGGAAAGTAAGGCTATGTGAAATTGAATGGAAACGTCAGCTCAACTCATTTGATTGTGGGAGAATTCTTATTCTACCAGTCCTTCATCACCTTAAACGAAATTGGGTGAATACATCTCATATTAATTTTTTAGTTATTGAGTATATCTTTGAGACTACCGATAAATTAGATTAATGAGTTGTGGTCACCCTATTTCGTTTAAGGTAGTTGAATCTTCTCACCATTCGTATATATGATTTGGTGGTAGTCTTGAAAAGGTAGTCAATAACAAAAAAATGTTACTCTATTATTTCTACATTCTACGCATGCAAAGAGAACAATTTCACTTTTCAGGCCAAAATCAACAGCAAAAAAAGCATTTAGTATTGCACATTTTAATGTAAAGTGAGGATCGGCACCGAAGACCACATGACTTTAGACTTGGCTTGGAACTGGGGTTGTCTGGGCTCTTCGAGTCGAAACGGCCACAGCTTTGCCATTAATAGGCACACTTTCGGACAGTAATTGGTACAAATAGCGCCTCAAGCCCCAGCACTGGCCAAACTGGCCCTTAGTGGCCAGGTTGTTTGTGTTCTCGCTAATTGTGCTGCCAGTCTGACCGAGAAACATGAACGCTTCTGCCATTTGGATGCTTGGGAAGTTGGTCACTTTCGCAGT